GCCATAAGTTGATGCCAACTCCCAATGACCCTATAAGACAAGGTAGAACTGCCCCGTGAGTTTCTGAGACTCACCCTTTACTGGAGGTACAGCCCCCTCTTTCTCCTGCACAGTGGCTGGTGGTTTCAAACTGCTGACTTGGTGGTTAGCTGCCCACTGCGTAACCACTACACCACCAGGGCTCCTTGACTTTTAAAGGGAACTTTTAAATGAAAGTTCTATAGAAAATATAGAATGAGATTGGAATCACTAAAGAAAAACAATAAATCACTGCAGAGTATGGATGAAAAGACGTGGGCTCTGGTCCCAGCAATTCTAATGTTCCTGTAGCTGTCAGTTTGAATATCTGAACCATGCCTTCCATCTGGGGAATGGAGCTATGGGATTAAACTGCTCTCCTAAGGCCTCTTCCAACTTTATATTTCATTATTCAATAAAATCTGGGTGATATTAAATAGCACATTGCATGCAAAGATCTGATGGGAGCATACCTGAAGTATAAAAACATAGAGAGACAAAATCAGCTTTTGAAACATTGAACTGTCCCCCACAACAAATGAGTGATTCCTTTGCAACAAAATAGATGTTCAAAGCATCATATTAATAGTGAGTTATTGGATACAAGTGAACAGAGTTAAAAATAGCAAAGCCAATCAATGTATGCCTAGGATCACCAAAAGGCATGTGCTAGAATGTATGCTGAGCCACTCTGTATACTAAAGTTTACAAGTAAAATAGGTAATGTATATAAAGTCTGGAAATGAAATAATGCATTCTGGCATGGTGATAAATCCAGAGAGAAGCAAGCGCTCAGTGGAACAGGGTGAGAGTTAGGCATCTGGTCTGACAGAGCTGGCTATATGTGCATTTTTGGCTTGGCCACTTATCAGCCACGTGTACTTGGCAAGTTAATTATGATCTTCACTGCAGAAAATTTGGAATGCACAGAAATTTCAAAGAATAAAACAAAACCACTCAGGCATAATAACCCTCACTGACTTTGCATGTATATTAATTTATTTTTTATTTTTTACAAAACAACCTTATCACCTTCAAAGTACTCTCCATTATAATTAATACACTTAGCAAATCTGCAATTCCATACTCAGAAACATTTTTCAAACTCATCCGGATGGCTAACCATCTCCCTCATTTTTTTCTTCACCTCTTCTAAGTTGTCAAATCACTGTCCTTTCATGTCCCTCTTCATTCAAGGAAACAAAAAGAAGTCACATGGAGTGAGGTCAGGTGAGTCAGGTGTGTTGGCCAAGAGAGGCATGCTGTTTTTTGCCAAAAACTGATGCACTGAGATGGCTGTGTGACCAGATGCATTGTCCTGGTGTCAAAATCAGTCCCCTGTCTGTCAGAAATCAGGCCTTTTTTGTTGCACACGGTTACACAATCTTTTCAGAACCTCTAAATAGAAAGCTTGATTAATAGTCTGACCTGGTGGAACAAACTCCCAACGCACTACAAGACGACATTTTTGTTTGTTCAGGAAGTTGATGGACATCCAGAAAGAGGTTTGTCATCAATTGACATTTCACCTTTTTTGAAATGAGAAAACCACTCATACATTTGAGTTTTTCCCATAGCGCTGTCCTTGTAAGCAGTGTTCAACATCACAACAGTTTTTGTGGTATTTTTCCAGAGCAGGAAACAATATTTCACAGCTGCATGCTGTCCTCTTAAATTGGCCATCACAACAAAAAGGTTTAAGTGAAACCGCTTTTTTGAAAAAATTCACTGTGACCGGAGAGAACCTTCCCAGGTGATGCCACTGGGTACCCTAACTCAGAGCAAGTTACTTGCTGCTCACCTGGTGGGGAAAATGCATACTACAAACGCTCCACCCAGTGGAGCTTTTTCCCGTGGGATTTTTTTTGGAGGGGGGGCACCCCCTTACAAAGTGAAGCAAAAGAACTTTGAATTTAGAATCATGAGACATTCAACCACCTAGGTGACTTTGACCAGGTTGCTTTTATTTTTTGAACCTCAGTTTAATAATCCGTAACATGATTGGATTGAATCCAGTGTTAAGCGAATATCAGTTTGAATATCCCTATCTTGAAAGCCAATTCCAGCTTCATCACTGCAGCATTCAACACTGTCCTCGTCTCAGACAAGTCTGGTCACTGCGCCAGGAGAGAGGCTGAGTTTATGAATTCCACTTTTATGGGGGCAACAAGCCAACCAGGCCATCACATGGTGTTCCTATTTCTAACTGACTGGCTCGCTCTTACATTGTGACAGTTGTGATTAGAGTGTCTCTTTTTATTGCTTTAATAATATATTGTGCTTCAAGCACAGGCCAAAGCTTTCTAAACACCACCAGACATTTTTATTATATTGAGAATATAAGCAATCTTAAAATACCTTTTAAAATTTTGTGACTTCTCAATCCTGACCAGTATTGCAGCTGGAAGGAGCAAGACTGTTATACTATACCTCTTCACCATTGCTGGAGTAACTTAAAAGTATATGCACAACTCATGCACCGGGAACATCTCAACAGCGTCAGTTCAATAGCAGCATCCTCATGGAAATTTTTACTTAGGCATTTCCTCAAGAAAGGGATTTGGGGATACCTTTTACTTTTGTATAGGGTGGGGAGTAGGGAGAGAAGCGGGGTGGGGAAGTGTACTTTGAAGAAAAAACAACAACAATGGCATGCATTTACTCTTGTAAGTTTCAGCAAAAAAAGGTGTATTTAAACCACCAAACCAAGAGTTGGTTAAAGGCCTTCCTATTTAGCAGTGGGGGATGGTGGGAAAATAAGCTTAAATGGTCCTGATTTTAGGATAAGAGAGATTGGTCAAGTTCCAGGCGCTACATAGGAGCCTTTCTCAGCTGTTTCTCAGGTCCAGCAAGGTGAACCTTGAATAAATACACAAGAGGTTGTTAGGTGCCACTAGGTGCAACAGAAAAAATAAAACCACTGCCCATGCCTGCACCATCCTCAGTCTTGGCTATTTGAGCCTATTGCTGTAGCTACTGTGTCAACCCATCTCATTGAGGGTCCTCCTCTGTTGTGCAGACCACGTACTTTATCAAGCATGATGTCCTTCTCCAGGGCGTCTTCCTTCTGATAACATGTCCAACATCTATGAGACAAGTCCCACCATCCTTGCTTATAAAGAGTATATTGGCGGTACATTTTCCGAAACAGATTTGTTCAATCTTCTGGAAGTTCATGGTTGCAGTGAAGTGACATTATCTGCTATGGCTCTTCTATCCAGTCTTTTTAATCCCCACCAAATGTCTCTAACACAAGGATTGGTCCAGTTTTTCTATTCTGCTGAGTACAGGAGTGGTGCATCTCAGAAGCTAGAAACACCAAGAAAGAAGAGCCACAAAGAGGAGTTATGTGAGAAATCCCTGCCTGATGTGGCTGAGGTAGCAGAGAGGCACAAGAAGCCCCAGCGCTGAAACCACAAGACAGCACTGCCGTGTCCCAGCCGATAGACTAGATGCAGAGGCTATGGGGTTGTGGGGCTAAAAGTAAGTAAGGAGACCAGACTACTAGCATTGCTGAGAGGGTGCTGCTCTGGCCAAGGACTGTGTGTCCTTAATGTTTTCTAATCCTGGCTGTGGTAACCTGTTAATTTCCCTCATAACCCACCATAATAGTGAATATTCTTCGTGAGCTCCGTATGGGTGTTGCAATGGATTATTAACCCCAGTAGAGAAATAGTGTGGATTGCTGACTTAATTAGTATAAGGGTGGCAGAGGGAGCACGTCTGACCTCTGGGTCATAGGGATCATCCTGGGGCAGATATGGTGTAAGATTCGGCTTCTTTGTGCAGCTCAAGGAGGTCAGATGGGATCTTCTGCCATTTTCTCAAGGGGCTGCTAATCGCCGCTAATCACAAGTTCGGCAGTTCAAAACCACCAGCTAGTCAACAGGAGAAAGATGAGGCTTTTGCTTCCTAAATATTTATAATCCGGGAAACCCAGAAGCGCAGTTCTACTCTGTCCACTAAGGTCGCCACGAGTCCAAACCGATTCAGTGGCACGGAGATACTCAATATTCTTCGCCAGCACGAACATTCAAAGGCCCCAGTTCTTCTTTGGTATTCCTTTGTTACTGTCCACCTTTCACATGCCTATGAGTCAACTGAACATACCAGGAGAGGCGTATTATGCACATCAGGATCCGTTTGGGGTCCGGGATTAGCCATTTTACTTTATAGGCAACGCACACACGACTATAATTCAAAGGACTAAACAGAAACCTAACAACCGTTGCTTCCAATAAAACACTTCTTCATTATTTTTCAGTTGGGACACTCCTTCCCTCCCCTCTCCCCAATTATATAGGCCGCCAGGCTGTCACAGGCGTTCCATCCTCTGTCTTGCAAGAGCGTGTCGTGTCAGCAGCCCGTGTGTAGCGCCAGATTCCCACAGTGTGCTCAGGTCTGGGAGAGGGCATTTCCCGTCGTGCTCGGCAGTGCAGTACCGGGAAGACCCCAGTGATTAACGTAAGCGGCATTGAAGGCAGGGCTGACGCTGTGACCTGTTGAATGGAAGACTGAGCGCAGGCATGCCCGCTCAGTACGCGCTCCCCTTCCCACCGGCGGCACGGTGCGAATGCGGCTCGGACCTATGGCAACCCGAACGTCTGGGACTCCTGGAAAGGAAGCCAACAAAACAAGGCGTAAGGGAAGGGCA